CCCCCCGGCTCCCTGCCAGCCTGGGACTGCTCTACCATGGCTCAAAATACTGTAGTCCCAGGTGCACTTGTAGACACTGTGCCCAAGAGCAGTTGACTCCAATGGGAACAGTGCCAGAGTTTATTTCTCCACCTTAATTGCACATGTAGATGTACCCACTGGTTCAGACAGGTTATTGCCTACAAGAACTATTTTGTCTGATGTATCTGACAAAGTAGGTTATTGCCTGTGAAAGTTCACAAACCAGTTAGCTTCTTAGACATGACTGTGCCTTACCTTTGCCCCTTGTGTAGTAGCTAAGCTTTCTGAATATAGTTTCTGTTACACTTAGCATTGCTCAGGGTGGAGAAAAAGCAAAGCTATGAACTGTTAGGACTACTACAGTTTCTGCCTTTTGCTGTTTGGAGATCTATTTAGCTAGCTATGCAAATAAATAAATATATCCAAATAAATATGCATACTCATACATGAGTATATGTATAATGAAATTATGCCATTACATAATTTGCACATAGTTGCTGAAAGGTTTTCCAAGTTATAAAAAAAATTGCATGCCTAATAAGTTTCAAATCATTTTGACTAACATAGGAAGGAACATTTTTATTGCTTTTCAAGTACAATTTTTTTGTTGTTGGACAAGGCTATATTTTGTAAACCAAAAGGAAGAGCTTTCAGGTGATTATAACACATCATGAATGTATTACTTTTAAAATTGGGAGAAAAAAGGGTTAGAAGAAAATAAAAGGCACAGTGTACTCTTATACAATCTATTATTTAAATATGTGGCATGTACACCCACATTCATATTACATAGTCAATAAGAAGTTAAAGTATTTACAGATGTAAGAAGAATAATTTCAAGTGCATAGTTCTAAAATCTGGCCCTAACCTAGCATCATTAAACCTCAGCGTTAACTCTTGAAAAGCTGATTGTAGAATATCTAAGCTATCAGAGTCATTTCAAGCTCTTAAGCATTCTTTAGTTTCACTAACAAAAACAGGACTTATGATTATGCCTAAAGTTAAGTAGATTTATTTTTTTCCCCCCTTAGGCCATGCCTACACATGCAGGGGCGTGCGCTTGTAGCAGCACAAAAAGTAGTGGCACAAATTTGTGCCGCTACTTTTCGCCACTGTGCATGCTCCTACACGTGTGCTGCAGTGCAGGGCAAAATGCCCTGCTGCCTGTTCCCTCCTTCCATCTCCTAGCATGCAGGAGGGGAGATACTTTGACTGGCAGCCAGAGCATCTCCCTGGAGGACCCAGCCTCCAGTTGCTCTGGTGCATATCCCTGGAGTGTGTGCTGTGCTGCTTTTTTTGCTGCAGTTTTATTTTATATTGGCAGTTCCAGGTGTCAAATTTTGGCACCATGCTGCAAATTTGCAGCACAACACATGGTTGCACATGCGCCGCACGTGGTCAGAGGCGCCACAAACCACACACGCATGCTCATCTAAATGCATCCTTAGTGATGGTTTAGGCACAGGCTTACATGCTTGCTGGGGGTGGGAAAAGATGTTTAGTGTTTTGCCTGATCAAGCCTTTACAGCACCTGCTAACTGGGTGTCTCCAAGCATATTAGAAGCAGTAACTTCATAGAAGAACCCATGTAATGAAGTCATCCTCCTCATTTTAAAGGGAGTGCATCTGCGAGGAGATAAGAGGGCTTGATCCAGTATTACTGATGTTTGTGACTTTCATGGGAAAAGGATCAGGTTAATGATGCCCCTGGGTCTCACATTAAGTTGAGGACAGAGCAGGAAATCAAACCCAGCTCTGCTGACTCCCATTCAATTAGCCCCAGGCCTCTTAATTCATTAGGTGTAACCCTCTTGTATGATAAATCAGTTCAACCAAGCTAACTTCTAACAAATAACCCATATTTCTCTTTCACTTCCTCTCTTTATACAGATGAGACAATGCCTTCAGATGTACTCAGCCAACCTTCAGAAGAAGAAATAGAGATGCATGTGGACAAAGGTACAGATAGCAAAATACAGCTGAAGTATACACTGTCTAGTCACCTAGTACACATTGTACAACACCTAACTTTCTTTTCCCTGAAAAAAGCCAAACCTAGGCTTAAAAGGTTAGAAATCTGTCATATGCCTTGATTTTCATTGATAAAACTATTTCTAAAAAACTGCTAGGCACCAGCTGTTGTGCTGTAAGAGAAGTACCACAGAATCCTTATTCTCATCATAATGGAGTTAATGTAAAAATACCATACTTGACACTTAAAGCTTAGGCCACAAGTTTGGCCTGGATAGGGTGACTCTTGTACATAAATTAAGCACATCAGTCTTACAGAATTAAAGTCCTAGTTCACTGTGTGCTGAGAAGAAAATAACCTGAAATGAGCGATTGTAAATACTTTGTGCAGGGGCAGATGGGAATGAAGTCATATTTGAGAGAAAAAAAGTAATGTTTATCTGGTGCATACTGTGCTGGGCACTCAGATCATTTAGTGTGTGATAAATATTTAAAAGTGTCACCGGGCCAAAAGACAGAGAGTTTAGGAAAGAAGAAAGACAATCTTATTTAAATGTTTCAAGCTGAGATTTTCCCATCAAGTTGTTTGGTTTACAGATAGGAGACCAGCACACAGATACACTCTTCTTGATCCTTTTATGGTATCACAGCATTAATTGCTCATGCTAGCCTACTCTTTCAGAATTCTTTCTGGTATGTCAAAAAAGGCATGGGTGATTTATAAAACCTTTGCTACTGGTAATTCAAAACAGGAGTTCAGCAATCTATAATAAATACAGTCCATCAGTACAGCTTTCAAGTCAGACTAATAGAGAATTTTAATGCATTTTAACTGAGATACATAATTATTAACTTCCATTAACTTATTTATTTTAAAAAATGTAATGTTTAATTCACTGTCATGGTTTGATTCCACTTTATTTTTTTAGATGATCCTGAAAGGGTGTGAGATCTTGCTGTCTTCTTCTAAAATTGCTTTTTAAGGACCCCCCAGATTTTACTTGATTACTGGTTCAAAGCTTTGACCAGGTTGATTGAACTGCTCTCTCAACTGTCTGATAGAAATACTATAAAGATGTTTTTAAAAAAAAAAACAAAAAAGCACCAGAATATTATTTGCCATTGAAATCCTCCTAGATTAAGGTCAGGGCAAGGTTAACAGAAATGGTGAAGATTCTTCCAAAGCGTTATAGGTGATTACCTTTCATTCATACCTGCTCCCCACTGACAACTAGCCTATCTGTCAGATTTCTTATTGGAACTATTTATTACATTTTGTATTATGAATGGCAGGATGCTGAGGTTTTTTTTCTTCTCATGTCTCAGTGAAGATTTTGAAATTCAGATATTGTTTTGAGTTCTTGCTCCTGATTTTATATCTTCTGTATGAATGTAATATGAATGCCTACTGATTTATTTCCCACTGAAATTATCCCTCATCCTTGTGGATAACCATTCTACGTATTTGATCCGTAGGTTTAATAGCCTCTTCTTAGCAAATAGGGCTTTAGCCTTTATTCTTGAGTGAATTTGGAAGAGGGAATGAGTTTATCTGCTTCATGTTGTTCTGGCCACAGAATTATGAAATTATAGTATAATCTAGGGATGGCAAACTAGTCAATTGACCAGTCAAATATTGTCAATTGACCAGTCAATTTACTGCATATTTTTGACTGGTCAAAGATTGTAGCAATTTTACCAAAAAACCTACATTTTTAAAATAGATTTCTTGACAGAAATTTTTTTATTGTTTTACGACACATTTTTTAATGGAAAATTTGTGTTTTTTCTGTGTATTATTTGGACCTATTGACAATATTTTACAACTTTTGATCAGTCAATTTACCAAACTTTTTTTGACTGGTCAAATACCAGATTATATTAGGGTTGGGTATCTCAGGAGAATGTTTTATACTGCTGTGGCATCTTGCACACAAGGAGAACCAGATTCCTAGTTACTCTTTCCCTTAGTATGAGGGAATGTCTGATCTTCCAGTGGTACCTTGAAAGCTAAAATAATAATACTGCAGTGCAAACCTTGACACTCATAACTGTTTCCTAATCTAATAGCTAGGTGTAGAGCTGATGTAGAGACCTTTGCTGTCAGGGAAGCCTCTGTACAGAGGGCATGTTCAGCTGGCTGTAAAGCACTTTTATGCTTCCAAAATGGTAGAAAGGGGCATTAGCAGCATCAAGAATCAGGCCCTGTGTTCATGTAAGACGGGGGAAAGACTGTTATAACTGCAGATTGTTTTGGTACCTTTAAAACCCCTGCAACATATCCTAGGATAGTTTCTGGAATGCAGGAATTGCAGTGTTTCAGGGAGATGGATGTGCCTGGTACTGAGGCTCTCAGACAAGGAAAAAGAGTAGCTTTTTCAGAAATAATTTTTAAGACAGATGTTATTCTGGGGAAATAACCCAGCAAGAACAACAAGTGAAAAACTCATGTTCACCTATTCTCCTCCACTTCTGGAAGCAAGGGTAAGTATTCATCTACAGGTTTAGCCTAGATACCAATGTGTACTCCTCCATCCCTATTAACAGCTTCACATGAGGGCTGTGTGAAATTTCACCGGCTGTTTCATTTCGATGCTATTTCACCCCGTTTTGAGCTCAAAACAGTGAAACTGAAATGAAATGAAGGGCTTCAAAACCGCTTCGAAACAAAATAAAGGCAGTCAAAACATTTCAAAAGTTTCAAAATGTTTCAAGTTTCGAAGCCAAAGTTGGACTTGCCTGCAAGGAAACAGAAAGTAAGGAGAGGGAGGGGGAAGAGTGGGAAAGGACTGCTCTCATATTGACCATTTAGCTGACTAGTGACTGTGATCCTTCCCTGAGGTCCCTTCCAATCCCAGTGCTCTGGGGGAGGGATGGAAAAACAGCATAAAAAGCATTGTTTGAACTGGACTGCTTTCTGCCTTGGGGTCAGTTACTAAGCTGTCTTCCAGAAGCTCAGCAGCGTCACACAACAAAGGTTAGCAAGTAGGATTCATCAATATCTTTTGCTTTCTATACCCTTTTATTTTATTATTATATGCATTGATTCCTTTCAATTTATTCCTCCCCCAAAATCCTCTTTCTGTTTTTGTTAGTCTATTCTGATTCTTTTCAAATCCATGCTTTCTCTCACAGTGTGCATTCCATTCACTGTGCAGGGAAGCACAGCATGATTATATTGCATATTACAGTATAGAATGTATATAGGAACACATACCTACATTTATATATTTTTATTTATTACATAAATACATGCATTGCATAAATACACATACATACAATTATCTTATCTACATACATTACATAAATCAGATTAAATTACAGAAGAAAACACAGATTTTCCAGCACACCAAGGCAAAGACAGGACACTATGAAACACACGATGAAGCGTTCTGGAATGGCAGTTGGCAAGCCTTCAGGGAGAGGGGGTAGAGGGAGAGCTATATGTTTCTCCCCCTCTCCCCCCCACCAACTGAGATGCAGCCTGTTTACTACAGCTGGCAGGCATGAGGCTTCCACTAGTTCTACAGGCAGCAAGGAGAGGGGAGCAGTGCCACTGCCACTGCCAGTGCCTGATTCTGCATCCCCTTCAAGAACACCAGCCATAACCACCCACCCCACTACCACCATGACAACAAGCACCAGCATCACAGTCTCCTCCACCCCCATTTTACTTCCCATGTTGAGCCTTCCAGTGCCAGAGGAAGAGCTGGAGCTGGATCTGAGTGGCCTAGCAAGGGTAATTCTGGGAAAGGAGGGGGAATCATCTGAGTTTATGCTCCACACCCCTCAAGTTTCCCCTAGAGCCAGGTCTCCTTCTCCAGAAGGCACTTTGGAAGAGGCTGAGGTAGACGTTGTGGAGGCAAGTGGCTCAGCTGAGTCCACTCCTCCTGCTGGTATGCCTCTGCCTGCTGAGGAAGGGGAAAAAGGCAGCATTCACACATGCACCCGCACCCCAGAAGTGAGTGGGTAGTGTGGTCTGGGATCATTCTGAGCTGGCAGATGATCCCAGATACTCTATCTGCCTGCACTGCTGAGCCAAAACCAGCTGGGGCAAGGGAACAAAATGCAGGAGAACCACAGGGATGCTGATGCATCTCCTCAGGCATCACCTCCTTGTCTTTGCTCCTCCTCAGCCTGGCACCAGTGGGAGTGTGCCCATAGGGAAGTCCCCCTCTCACTCCAAAACCCCCATTCTCCCAAAGCAGAGGCGGGCCACCCTGGAACAGTGGGGGAAAGGCAGACAGAAAGAGGGGCATATTGCAAAGGCGATGGCCAGACCTTCTCCTCAGTTGAGCATCCAGAGTTCATGTGGCTCATGCCATTCATGGCCCCATCATACCAAGTGCCTGCATGCACCACCTTCAGTAGGATGGTGGTGCCCTCCCTGTATGACACATGAAGGGAGTACTTGAGGGAAGAGCAGTGCAAGGCAAGTCTGCAGGTGGCCTTACACTTTACCTCAGACAGCTGGAGAAGCCGGGGTGGAGATCATGGATACTTCTCCCTCACAAGGCCCTGGTGCATCCAGTCAGGCCGTTGGTGGGCTCTCCATCAAGCCAAGGTGATGGATGAGTCCCACACAGCAACAAAGATTATGGGGGACATGAACTGCTAGGTGCAGGGGTGGCTTATTGAGCAGGGTGAGCTCACCTGTGGGTTCATGGTCACTGGCAATGGGGATGATATGGTCAAGGCAGTCTGTGATCCCAGCTTTGTTGGCATCCACTGTGTGACACACAAGTTTCACCTCGTTGTCAGGGATGCCTTGGAGAGGGACAGGGCTGCCAGTGACAGCACCAGCACCACCAGCAAGCTCATTTCCAAATGCAGGAGGGTGGCAGACTACTTCCATCGGAGCATCAAGTGGGGCAAGATGCTGTGGGACAGACAGGCAGAGCTGAACATCCCACAGCACAAAATCATGCAGGATGTGGAAACTCAGTGGAACTCCACATACCTGATGCTCTAGAGTCTGGTGGAGCAGT